CCAGGTGCTAGGCAACTCACAACTGCCTGTAATTCAGTTTCAGGAGATCCAATGTCCTATTTTGTCTTTAAAGACAGACCCTCACTATGTAGCCTTGGCCATCCTCACTCTGTAGATTAGGCTGTCCTCAAACTAACAGAGATCCACCTGCATCTGTTTCCTGAATGCTGTGTGCACAAGCACAAAAGTAAATATTAAAAAAAAATAGTAAAATTAGTGCTTCCCAGAAGCAAAGATGCTCCCCACGGACACCTCCGGGGATTCCCATGGGTCTTCACAAGCTGCTTTCGAAGATAAAAGGAAGTGCACCCATTCCCATCAAGGTTGAAGAGAGCATGAGGTGTACAGTGTGATTCCTAGAGTTCTAAAGGCCCTAAAATAACAGAGGTGGATCTTTTGGGTATACTTCATCTTATTCGTGAGGCAAGACAGCAAGACCAAACAGGTACAATTAGGATAGGCCAGGAGGAAAGTAGAATTGGCAATCCAAAGGGAAATGGGAAGCACACAGTGGAACAATGTGATAACAATGAAGTATTATCTTCTTGAATCAGACAATTCTGAGTTTTGCCTGATTCCTTAAATTGTAATAACAATATTTATCATTCTTATCTTTTAATTGGATAAAAGTATTAATTGAAATGAGAATTCTATTGTGACTTTCAGTTGTAGGTTTAAAAAAGCGTGACAGGGTAATTAATTCTGTTTCTATTACAGTCATTTCTCTTTCCATTGCATTCAAAGTAGGATGAACCCTCTCCTCTGCAGACATTTTATTTAGATTGTTTCAAAATTATTGATCTGTTTCAAGCCATTTTCAAATATTTGCTTAGGTTTTCATTATTAAAATAAATTAAACTTTGATCCAAGACTGATTACTGTGTTCAATAATAGAAGAGAAAGGTTAAATTATATTTTTAATTAGTATATTTTCTAATAAGTTACAATGATCTAATCCAATAATTATAGTTCTGATTCTATGACTTAAACTGTCTTGGGCTTTAAATTAAAACCAGAAGCTCCATTCCTACAAATTAAGCAGTAACATCATTCTCTTACTACATGACAATTGCACATATGACTTCAGAGAAGTCTTCCCCTATCCCATTCTGCAAACTAAAGAGTTTCTTCTTCTCTGAGATGTGCACACAAGCATTCTGTTTTCATTTTCAATTCTCCTGGTAAATGGTTGAGTGTAGATGCTGGTGCAATCATGCAGAATAATCTGAAGAAATTATATGTTTAAAAATAATCTATAAATTATTACAGACAATATCTGCACTTTAAATAATTGCACTTTAAATCATTTTACTTGCTTAAATTTCTGAGTCTATGTACTCAAAATTGGCAATATCTTTTTTTCTTTTCAGAGGTTATATTAACCTTTTCTACCATTTCTAATGTTTACAACAAACCTTTCCTCACAGATGCTATCTATTTAAATCATTTAATAAATGATTGCTCACAATAGAGTGACTATATTGTCCTCTAAGAGATACTTATATGCTATGTGGATGAAAAACTAATAAACTCCTTTTAAGCTTTATAAAGAAGCCCAATTATTTTTCAGTTTCATAAGCAAAACTCATATAAACTTACTAAATACAGAATAGGGAACACAAATAATTTCTTTTGTCATGAGATGCCCATGGCATCTAGCACTACAAGGTATACTGCTGTACTGTGTGTTATCCATTCTAGAACATAATTATCTCAGCATCTTAGTGGGCTTGAGAAATGTCCTTTCCTTAATATTTTATAAAATTCTCTAAAATTGCTTGAAGATGTTTTCAAACAATTTCAGAATTTCTGATTATTTGCTGAAATCATTCATGTATCTCCTGAAACCAAGAAGAGTCAAAATATGCCTTTGTATAAAAGTTATCATCTCATAAAGAGCCAGGGCACTTAGCCAACCCTTTATTCTGCTGTGTTTGTGGCTTTATAAATTGTCCCTATTCATGTATGACCTTTCCTTATGAGGTTATGACCTTTCCTTACTTCTGTAGACCTTTTTGTAATCAACCATCCTAAATCCTCAGAAAATATGTTGGCCTTAAGGAAATTTTTCAATGCAAGCACACAAGTCCACTGCTGTCTAAAAATCTCTTTAATATGAATTCCATCACAGTTGTCTCTATGAATCTAGTTCCCTCATGGTAGAAAGTCTGTATGCTTATCACCCCTCTGTCTTGATATCATTTCCCCTGAGCTCACTGAAACTTGCCACTGATTGAGACACCTCAACTGAAAAGGAAGTGTAAAGTGGATTGAAATCTTTTGTGTCTCATATTTTAATACTTGCACCTTGGTTTTTACCAACATGCAAACATTCTTCTGTCTGCTGTTTGTGACAAATAGTACCAAGGCAGTCTGTGGATGGCTGAGACTAAGTTTCCACAGTCCTGTGCTGGGCTTCCCAGAAAAGATCTTATTGAGAAAGTGCAATTTGGAGGGAAACTTGAAAAAGGTGATAAGATTAGGTGGATTTTTGGAGAAAGGCATTCAAAGAAGAGAGAACATCTTAAAAGTCCTGAGAAAAGTGTGTATGTAAGAATCTTCTGCATGGGTGTGAGTGTGCATGTATGTGTCTGTTGATGTCAGTGTCTGTGTGTTTTTTGTTTGTCTGAGAAATAGCAACAAGAACAGTTTGGCTAGGACAGACTGCCCAAGTAGCCAAGGAGAAAATTAATAGTCAGAAAAATTAATGAACATAAGTAAATGGATATTGTAAAGGTCTTTGCTTTTTCTTCCTGAGTAATAAAAGCAGCAATAGGAAGATTCCAAGCCAGGGGTAAGCATAATGTAATCTTTGGTTTAAAGATGAGTCTTGCCAAATGAGGCCAGACTGAGGGGGGTCCATGGTCAAAGAAGAAAGGTTCTTCCAAGACTATTGGAGCAGTCAAGTAAAGAAGTGATGAGAATGGACTTGAACAGGAGTAGTGAAGCTATTGAGAAATTTAAAAAGAAGTTTCCTGGCTGAACCAAAGGATTTACTGGCAATCTCAGACATTGTTTTTCTGGCACTAAAAAATAATGGGAAGGTGAACATCCAAACTGGCTAGGCTCCCATCAAGCCAGAACATGAAGTAGGATCAAAACCCCTTGCCATTGACCTTGGCTTCTCATCAGTCCTCATTGTTCGCCATGATCAGAGAGTCCGGTTTTATCCCATGCTGTTTCAGTCACAGTCCAGCTGGCTTTGGTGAGCTCCCAATAGATCAGCCCCACTGCTCTTTGGATAGGAGAGGGAGGGGGAGAGGAGTGGGGGGAGGGGGAGAAGAGAGGGGGGAAGGGGAAGGGGAGAAGAGGGGGGAGGGGGAGGGAAATGGGAGGCTGGGAGGAGGCGATACTTTTTTTTCTTATTCTCAATAAAAAAAAAAAAAAATAATGGGTGTCAGGGAACATGTGTGCGCATATGGATGTGTGTGTGTGTGTGTGTTCATGTACAAACTTCGGGGGTCTTGTGGGCCTGTAGAAGGTGCATGTCACTCTACCTGCAAATAAGACACACTTAACTGCCAGTGTGCTTAAGAGGGGGAGGAGAAAAACACAATAATTCAGTTCCCTTCTTGGGTTCTTCAACTCTTCCAGAAATGTGACAGGCACTAGTTTTGAAAGAGAAATGAGAAAATTGACAAAATAAGACATGGTAATGTTGACTCCAGAAAACACACAGCAAAATGGAGTTTCTGCCCATCTGGAACTATAGTCAACCAGTCTGTAAAGGATGGAAGACTTTTTTCTTTCCTTCATTTTACATTTATTCCTCTCCCTCTCTCTTTCTCTCTGTCTCTCTCTTTCTGTCTGTCTGTCTCTCTCTCTGTATATGTGTGTGTATGAATGTGTGTAAACACACATGTATGTGTGGAATTGGAAGATTATTAATTCAGAACAGTTCCTGGAAGTATATGATGTAAAGAGAAGGAAGAATTAACTTTTTAGATCAACTTTATGTGCTTTTTTAATAGGATTAATTTTAATGAGAACTCAGCAGATACATTCCTGTTTTGTTTTGTTTGTTTTTACCCTGCTTACTACTGATGGAAGCTAGCTGCAGCAAATGGCTAAAGCTTGTGAACACAGCTGATTTCCTCTCAATTTTTTCCTATTCACTTTTACCCAAAGCCAAGGACATTGTTCTCAGAACTACAACAATGTATTATTTTTCAATCTTATCTGTCACCAACTAGCATTTCCCATCACCAGTTGTCAGCCTTGGGCAACTCATGTACCCATCCTGGAGCATCTTTTGTGTCCACATCAGGAATTTGATTACACTGTCACTATGATTCCTCCCAACTGGAACATGCTCTGATATCTCATGCATGAGAACTGGAAACAGAATTTGCTTGTGTAATGGGGATCATTTGATCATCAAATCTACTAATATATATTGTTCTGCAAAAAATACAGTTGTGTGTTTTTTAACAATTCTAAATTGGTTTTTAAATAAAGTACAAAACACAATAACAAAAAAGTTCAATGCCTCAATTACTAGAAAATATTTTGAATATACTTATATATTTAAAACTTTATTTAGCAGATTTTCAGTAATGAAGTCCAGTTGATTCTGACAACCAAATGAATCTTTGCATTATCTTCCCCCAAATGAGAAAAGATTATATTGCTGTATATTTGAACAAAGTTTCAACTGTCTTAGTTTTAAGATTCTGTTTGGCAGTCAATAGAAATCTAGGATTATCTGACCTCAAACCTTAGGTACAAGTTGCTGGCCTTTAGCTCTAAATACATTTTCTAGTTACATTTTAAGTTTCTGAGTCACATATATGTGTAACCAAAAAAGATTGTTTACTTTTTTGTTTTTGTTTTTTGTTTTTTATCTGTTTTTATTTTATTAAAAATTTCTGCCTCCTTTCCACCTCCCTTTTCCCTCCCTCTCCCGTCACTCCCCACACCCCACTTCCCTCCCCCTCCCTCTCCAGTCAGGGTTCCCTGCCCTGTGGAAAATCCAAGGTCCTCCCCGCTCCATCCAGGTCTAGGAAGGTGAGGATCCAAACAGACTAGGCTCCCACAAAGCCAGTAGTATCAAAACCCAGTGCCATTGTCCTTGGCTTCTCAGCAGCCCTCATTGTCAGCCATATTTAAAGAGTCCGGTTTGATCACATGCTTTTTCAGTCCCAGTCCAGCTGGCCTTGGTGAGTTCCCATCAGCCCCACCGTCTCAGTGGCTGCGTGCCCCCCTTGCGGTCTTGACTTCCTTGATCATGTTCTCCCTCCTTCTGTTCCTCATTTGGACCTTGGGAGCTCAGTCCATTGCTCCATTGTGGGTCTCTGTCTCTATCTCCATCCATTGCCAGATGAAGGGTCTGTGGTGATATGCAAGATATTCATTAGTGTGGCTATAGGATCGGGCCATTTCAGGCTCTCCTCAGCTGCCCAAGGACCTAGTTGGGGACATCTCTCTGGACCCCTGGGAACCCCTCTAGAGTCAAGTCTCTTGCCAACCCTAAAATTGCTCCCTTAATTAAGATATATACTTCCTTGCCCCCATATCCATCCTTCCATTAACCCAACCATCCTATTCCCCCAAGTTCTCCCCATCCTCCCCCCCCCAAAAAAAAGAAAACAGAAGAATAACCAAATATGTGCTCCAAGAGATTCACGCGGGTCTCTACTGAGGCATAGTTATGAACATCTAGGCAAGACAAGAATGAGAAAAGATAAAAGAAATTCAGAGATGAATAGGACTGGGACCCTTCCATATAACCTCTCTTATCAGCTGTATCTTTCTATTGATTTCTTAAACTATTTCTCTGTTACAAGAAAGTAGGAATTTAAAGTATATAAACTGCTTGAAGGCAGTGTTTGTTTTCTGTTACTGGCTCCTATATTGTGATTCAGAGTCCTCGTTTATGCCTGACATGCTGACTTAATATTAACTGTGCCCTCTTTCCTTCATAAAATGTCTCTGAAAAAATAAACTGCACAATAACTTCGTTCAAATAAAAACATTAAATATTATTGCACTAATTATTTAGTTAAAGCTATATAACCTCCTTTTCAGATTACTATAAATTGACCTATCCCGGGTGAATGAATTTGAGAAGCACAAAACCTTCAGTTCTGCTTGAAAAAGATTACAGATTATTCTGTGGATAATGGTCTATTATTAAACGTCAAATGGTTGGCTTTCTTATTTTTCTCTGACCTCATCATGTTCCAAAAACTCTTTCAAATGGAATATTTAGGTCTGGTAAATTATGGTTTCTTGGGAACCCTGTGTTCATTATAGATTTACAAATGTATAATTCAGTCCATAAATGCCCCTAAAAAGAATAAAATGAAAATGTATTAGATGGAGAACAGTTGTGAAACAAGAGCTTCTAAATTAAGTGCAAGATATCTAGTAGCATCTTTAACATAACTTCATTCAGAGAAACTATGGGTCTTTGTCACCTCTCTAAAGGTGGTGGCATCAGATTGAGGGTGCCAAGAAATGCACTGGACTAAAGTCTCATGCAATACCCAACTTTATTCAGAGCTTCAGACAATTTATACTTGAAGCTCTCATGAGTTCAAGTCAGACACAATCCCAAGGACAAGTCACATGTGGCAAAAACATGTTTTTCTGTGGAGGCTTATAAAGGATGGTCTAAACATTTAATTCAATAAGAACAGCAAGCAATAATGAGTAACCTGAAATAAAGGCATTCCCATCCACTACATCCTAAAGGAGCACAAAAACATATTCCAAGAATAATTCCAAGTTTTTAAAGAAAATGAAGGCACAAGACTCTTGTATTTTTTTTTTTTTTTTGACAGTGTTCTCACAAGCACTCAGAAATGTGTTTGCACAAGTCCATTCCTGGACCGTGTTCTGATAGGTCTTTTTACACATCTAAGATTTATTGAGAAAATACTTGAAGATAATAGGTGTCTCCAAAGGCCCTGAAAGGACATTTTCCTAGAAAATTCTTTCCTTCAGCTAGCACTTAAAAGAAGTGGTGACTGGGCTAAGCAAGGCGATTTTTGCTCAGTTTTCTCAAGACATTTCAGTTAAATCATTGAGACTGATTATCACAAACACTGTCTCACCCACGCATCTGGTAACAGATTTGAATATCAACTGGAGCTTCATCTGGAGTGGCCAGCTGTTACTTCCTATACTACCATTTGCTTTGCTGACTAGGATTTCCCACACACCATGTTACTGACTTTCAAACAAAATCAACCCAAAGGATACCCTGGCTACCAAGGCTGAGCCTGGGAAGTCATTCACCATCACTTTCTCAGTAGCTACTGCTTTGCTAGATATGAGGGGAGAAAGCTTTGAGTCACATAGATAAGCATATTTTTTATCATGGAGTCATTTTAATGAAATAAATCCACATGATATCCTTACCTCAGTCTTTGTAGTATCTTAGTAAACAGTCTAAGTGATTTACACATTTGCTTATTGGAAAAGCTCGATGTCAAACCAATGTTGTTTGTCAAAGTAAACATTGTTCATAGCCTCTTTACCTATCAAATTAGTAGAAATAATAATCTTTACACTTGCAGTTGTTAGGGCCCACAAAACAAAGACTCACATGTGCAATCAGCAAGAGCTTGTTTATCCCAGCCTGCTGGGGTCTGTCAGCCAGATGACAAAAGGACTGTGACCCAGAACAGAGATTTCAGGAAGCCAGAAGAGGATTAGGTCATCTTGAACTACTTTGATTGGGGCTCCTCTTCCTCCTTTAACAGAGTGCAGAAACTGAAACCAAAACTAAGTGGACTGAAAGTGAAATTAAACTGGAAGCCAGGCCCAGCACAGGCTGGATTCAGGAGAAGCCTGGCCCTGGAGTTACTGTGGCTTCTCACAGGGAAATTCACATATATTATTTTTTACTATAATACTTTTGCTATTAATTCTAAAGACTTAAAATAAAAATTTACTTGTATTTTAGACAAAAAGCTCTACTTAGTTATTCAAGTTTTCTACTTTCTATTTCATGCAAATTATTGGAACAATCACAGGAGCTGGTCTGAGGACAAAAAAAGCATTGACAAAAACGTTAGAAATAATTTTAATATATATTCATGTCTGAACTCTCCAAATGGGTCAGGGAATACATATGTGTAATTACATGTGCATAACACATGTATCATTTACTGTATACATATTACTATTATACACATATACATGTATGTGTATTATTATTTTTTTTTTATTGAGAATAGGAAAAAAAAGTTTCTGCCTCCTCCCAGGCTCCCATTTCCCTCCCCCTCCCCCCACTCTTCTTCCCCTCCCCCACTCTTCTCCCCCTCCCCCACCCTCTCCCCCTCCCCCACTCCTCTCCCCCTCCCCCCACTCCTCTCCCCCTCCCTCTCCAGTCCAAAGCACAGTCAGGGTTCCCTGTCCTGTGGGAAGTCCAAGGTCCTCCCCCCTCCATCCAGGTCTAGGAAGAGCATCCAAACTACCTAGGCTCCCACAAAGCCAGTACATGCAGTAGGATC